CCCTTGGTAGCTTTTTCTATCGAATAGATTCTTCAAAATGCTGGAGCTGTTAAAATTAGTTTTAGAGTTTACTGAGCACTCAGTTTGTCAGTTTATGAAGTCTGCTACCTTGCATTGCTTAGCAAGACTACAGAGCGCACACAAATTAATCGGAATTTCTTCAAGGGTGTTTTATCAGTCATTCTCATGTTGTTGTGAGTTGATCATGACTTTTCCTTCCAGATCTTCTGCGTATCTATGATCCCAGTACACCAAACTCCATACAGTGCTCTGAATTAATGAGTTTCAGGTTTGTGCTACTCTTTCTACCTGCAATGTTTCCCCCTAGCTTGCTGCTAGCTAACCTTCTACTTATTCCCTAAAGACCAACCAGTTCAATCTTCCTCCTGAGGCTTTCCTATCCTCCCACAGAGGGAGCAAGAAGAGTTCACCTGTCCCACGAGGCTCCACGGGGCTCAGCCAGAAGGCCATTGTGGCATTTATCATGCTGGCAGAATTATTAGTTTCACATTCTTGTTTGGCATTATTTGTGTGTGAGCTCATTGAGAGCAGAGGTATCTTTCTTTTGAAAAAAAAATTTTTTTAATTGGAAAAACATTCACAGAAAATTTAAAAAACACAAATTTCGGTCTACTTGTCTCCCAACCTCCGCTTATTCCCTCGGACAAAATTACTATACCTAATTTTGGGGGTGTATCCTCACAGAAATATTCTATTTGCTACTTTTGTGTAAGATATACACGCACACATACATATACTATTCTGTAACTACTTTTTCTTTTAATATCTCCTAAAGATCCTTCCAGAAGCTCACGTGGCATGGTCAGTTACACATTGTACTGCTAACTACCCATCAGTAGTTGGAGGCCACCAGCTGCCCTGTGGGAGAAACATGAGGTTGTCTGCTCCTACGACGATGTACAGACTCAGAAACCCGAGGAAGCCGGGGTTCCGCTCCGTCCTATAAAGTTGCTATAAGTGTGAACCAACTTGATGGCAACAGGCTTGGTGGTATAGAGATCTTTTCTTATGAGTGCATGTAGATCAGCCTCGTTTTAGTTATAGTGTATATTTTCCTGTATAGATCAGCTTCAGCTGATTTAATCCCTCGCTGATGAACATTGTGTAAACATTTCAATCGGCTCAAATGCATGAGCAGGTTGGACATTGACTAAGGAAGACCAAAGAAGAGTCGATGCATTTGAATTGTGGTGCTCGCAAAGAGCATTGCCACAAGGACAAGCAAACCTCTTTTGGAAGAAGTACAACCAGAATGGTCTTAGAGGCAACGGTGGTGAGACTGTCTCACACATATATTTTGGCTCTGTGGTCAGGAGAGACCCGTCCCTGGAGTAGGACATCATGCTTGGTAAAACAGAGGGGCAGCAGAAAAAAAGGTTCTTGACCAAGGGAGTGACACAGTGGCTGCAGCAATGGGCTCAAACACACGGAGGCTGTGAGGATGGCGCCGTTTTGTTCTGCTGAACCGAGGGTCATGATGTGTCCGAACTGACTCCATGACACTTCACAAGAGCAACACGTGAATGCCCACATTTGTAAGAGAACAACTGACTGTAGCACGCTGTATATTTTGTAATTGTTGAAGCACTCAGCTACAGTCTGATTGCTGGGAGAGTGTTTTGGGGGATTGATCATCTAATAAGTTCAGTTCTGCTTAGGTTGATGTGGTTTTCAATCAGGTCCAATCACTTGACAGCAGGATTCCACATTTGGAAACACCCCAAATGTCTGACAACTGATGAATGGAAAAACAATGTAATATAAACTGTGGAATATTACACATGAATAAAAAGGAATGAAGTACCAACATAAGCTACAATCTGGATTTGAAACTGTAATATAATACTTGAAAATACTATGCTAAGCCAAAGAAGCCAGCTTGTAACATTCCATTTATAGGAAATATCTAGAATAGGCAAATCTTTAGAGACAAAATAGGTTAGCAGTTGCCTAGGGGTTGAGGGTGGGGGTGCGGAATGACTACACATGGCTAAGGGGTTTCTTTTTGGGGTGACGAGAGGCTACCCCTAATTTAGATAGTGATGATGGTTCTAAAACTCTGAATAAACACTGCTCATTGAAAACCACTGACTCGCACACCTTCAAGAAAAGTGGGATTTGTATGGTACTTTCAAGTTGACTTCTTGCACGCTTGGTATTCTACTGTCCACTACTACTTTCTGGCATCTGGTAAAGAAACATTCAGTGGTGCCAAATTATGGTATGTAGAAGGTATTGAACAAGGGTGTGCATCCCAGAGGTGTACACGTGTAACACGTATGCCTCTTTTGATTGCTGTACAATGAGGTAAGCCTTGCGCATGGCTACGGTTTTCTGTTTGCCATTTGGAAGTTGTGGTTTTGGTGATGATGCAACTTTTCAGGTGAAGAACTTATTTTCTGGACTAATACGGGAGCTTTCCAAAAGTCACACGAGCCTTCCGCTTTGTTGGCTGGCTGCTCCTGCCTCTCCTTGTTTTCTTGAGCATACCATGCCAACTTTTGTTTACAGCCCCAGGTAACATGGGGGACAGATGCGACCAGCTTTCCTTCGGGCCCACTCTCATTAGGCAGCTGACTGTGGGCCAGGAAATCCAATGACTAGGAAGACTACCTTTTGATGAAGAACAAACAAGGATTAAGCGTGGTGCCAAATAATGCTTAGCTCCCACTTATTGGAAAGCATTTACTTGTCACGAGAATGCAGCACTAAGGGCACTCAAAGAGCTATGTGCAGCCACTGCAGGTGCCTTTATGGGTTACTTTGTGTTTCCAAAAATTACACACAAAATACATTTGTGCAGGACAAACCGTTTTTCTCATGCCTCGTCCCACCTATCCTGCTCCAGAGTCCAGGAGGATACTGGTCACCCACATGCTACTTTTCAAAGTCCATTTACCTAATAATGTGTTAATATGATTCAATTATGAAGCATGCATCCCAGGACATTACCTTTTATCAACCCAATTTAACAAACACAATTTGGTCATGAAAGGGTGAATTTTTATTATGGATGAATGATATCTCAAGAACATTGTTAAAAAGTAAATATTCAGGTCACTAAGCATTGCTATGTGCATACATTGCCTTCATTTTAGATAGCTATAGATAGAAAATGCTGTGTAAACTCTCACAAAGAAACAGAGACAGGCAGACTAACAAGCTGACCATTCTCTTCACATACGTCATTCCATTGCGTAAGGCTTTTGAGCTGTGAGTGAAAGAAGAGCAACTTAAAAAAGAAATTTAGTAACTTTCTACAGGGAAGGTCACTCTGGGCTTTCAACCTGACTATAAACAGAGGCTCATGTAAAGTTTTCAGGACTGTTGTTTTTTTTTCTTTTGGCTCTATTTGCCTAACTTTTTCTTAGGTTCATTCAACAAGGGTCCCTTGCAAATGAAGGTCTCCAGTATCCCTAGGGTTTATAATCCCAAAGAAAGAGTGTCTTTCATGCTAACTCTTTGAGAGTCTAAAGAGAATTCTGGAAGGTAGGCTCAGCGTCCATTAAGCCATAGAGACTGAGTATAATTATTATTTATATTTACATGCAGACCAGACAAAAAAGCACTGACTAGTATTCTGATGTTTAGACACAGAATTAAGGGTGTACATTTTCAGGAACTATCAAAATGGTGGCATTCTTTAGTAGGCATTTTTGTGTTAATAAGGTTTTTTTCCCATAAAGTTCTTTCAATATAATACCTGAGGCAAGATATATTTATAAACACATTGAAATAGTACCCCCCCCTCAATCCAGGACAGATAAACCCCTCAGGTTTATGAGAGTATAATAATGAGAGTAGCACTCCCAGGAGGGTAAGGGGAAGGTGGGGTAGAAATGGGGAACTGATCATAAGGATCTACATATAACCCCCTCCCTTGGGGATGGACAACAGAAAAGTGGGTGAAGGGAGACATCGGACAGTGTAAGATATGACAAAATAATTTATAAATTATAAAGGGTTTGTGAGTGAGGGGGCGGGGAGGAAAGGGAAAAAATGAGCTGATACCAAGGGCTCAAATAGAAAGCAAATGTTTTGAGAATGATGATGGCAATGTCCAAATGTGCTTGACACAATGGATGGATGTATGGATTGTGATAAGAGTTGTACATGCCCCCAATAAAATGATAAAAAGAAAAAAAGAGAAATAGAACCCCCCCAAAAAGAGGGATGTTCAGTGGTCTGGAAGATATCACCGTTGACTTACTAACTCAACCATTGCCAACCCTTTTTCCCTTGTTAACCTCAACATAATTGGAAAGTTTATATATTTGTTTTCCTAGTGTTCTACTTAACCAGGCATGGCTGTGTGGCCTATTCTGGTCAATGGGTTTAAGTACAAATCTGAAATAGTTTACTTTTCCCAAAGGGCAGATGTGTCTGGCACCCCACTTTGTCCTCCTTTCCTTCTCTCAATGAGAATGTATGTTGGGAACTGCAGCTGCCATCCTTTGTCTGGGAGACAATTAGGCCGCTATAGATGGAGGGGTAACAGTCTGGGTCTCTAATGACATTGTAAGACGCTGAACCCCCTCTGTCTACCTGGAGATTTCTTGTGATGTAAGACAAGTAAATCTCATTCAATCTAAGGACCCCCTGGTGGCACTGCAGGATAAGCACTAAACTGCTAATCACAAGGTCAGCGGGTCAAACTTACCAGCTGCTTCAGAGGAGAAAGATGAGGATGTTTGCTCCCATCAAGACTTACAGCCTGGGAAACCTTATGTAGGGTTTCTATGAGTTGGAACCAAATTGATGGCAGTGGGTTCGGTTTTAGGTAATTCTTGAAGTCACCGTAGGTTTTGAAGGACTGAAAATATTCTTAACTGGTATAAATGGTGTGAGCCCGATAGTCTGGGGGCAATGAAATGAAACGATTGTAACTTTTCATCATAATCTCTTCATGTAATAGTCATACATGAATTTTGAGGGATTATTTCCTGGGCCTTTTTTGAACATAAAATCTTACAAAGAAACATTTTAAAAGGCTAGAGTTTATTTTAATATATTGATATATATGTATGTACATAGACTATTTTAAAAATAAACGTGAATTATAATCATTATAAAACATAAATCAGCCCTAATAGAATATTATCAGAGTAAAAGAGCATATATTGACATCAGTCTTACATTATTGCACTTGCCTTGTAAAGTTAGGATACATAAAAGATTTAGCGCACTGTATTCCAGTCTTTTCATATTATCATCATGATATATCATCAGGTATGAACACCTTTAGGAATGTGCCAATTTGTAACTTAACATTCCAATAAACAAAATCATTTAACAGTTATTAAAGTACCATTAAATTACCTAAAATGAGTAATCTAAAAAATACTAGCCTAAATCAAAACCCTGAGGAATTAAAATCTTTTTACATGATAGTTTTGGTTAAGTGCAGTTCCATTTATACTACTTTATTTAAGGTCATACTTGGTAAGGCATAGTAAAAATAAAATCTAAGTAACAATCTAATACTATATTTCATTTCTTGCTACAAAGTTGGTTTTATTTCCCCAAAAAGTAGTTTTTGCATGTCATTCTGGACCTCTTCTCCCACCTGCTGGCTTATTTGCTTTATATAGAGTAGTTAAAATGTGTGCACTAAGCTTTATAATGGTGGCTCGGATAGAAAGCACCTGATGAATTAAGAGAGTTCATGTCCATGTTCAACCATGGCTTGCATAAACTGCTTGAAGACTCGATCCATGTAGGTGTGCCGTGGCCAGAGTCCTTCCAGAAAACCAATATGGCCTCCATAAGAAGTAAGGACCAAAGCCACATTAGGGTTTTGCTTAGCTGTTTCTATTGGGATACCTTGGGGGTGGGGGGGTGGGAAGGCAGGGGAGGGGCAAGGGAAGAAGAGAGAAAAAATATAATCATGATTATTTTTTAATAGAAAAACTTCATATATTGATTATTGGTAATCAATTAAAACCACCATTAAACAAATATCTATAATGAGTAAACAGAGTAAGTCTTATAAATGCATACTGTCTATGTTCATATGGTCAAATGCTGGACTATTGTTTTTGTAAGAACAAACCAATTGTTTAATCACATCACAAAAGTATAGCTGGAGATTTCTTGCGATGCAAGATAATAAAATATCATTGTTTCCTAAGTCCTTGTTAGCTAGGCTTTGAGGAATTAAATAAAATAATTCAAGGAATGTACGTATTTGCACTATAGACTATCTGCCTCTCACCTATGTGCCACACTGTCTCTGTGGACTTCGGATTATTTTACAGGAAGTCAGATGCCTAAGGCCAATTAGTAGCTGTATGAAAGAGCCAAAATGATGTGTCTATATCTACATATGTACCTGTATTTCTCTCTATAAATATATGCGGGAGCTTCAAAAGTCCATAGAAAACTGGAATGAAAAGATTAAAGGACAATGGACTTTGCCATGGACTTATTGACGCTCCCTAGTCTAAAAAAGCAAGCTTCCTGCTGATAGTCAGCTCTGACTCACAGTGACCATCCAGCACAGAGGAGACTGCCCTGGGTGGTTTTCACGAGTGTCAGTCTTCAGGGAAGCGGACTGCCACATCTTTCTTCCTAGGAGGGGCTGGGTTCAAACTGATGACCTTTTGGTTCGCTGCTGAGTGCTTTAACCACTGTACCACCAGGGCTCCTACAACAGATAGACATATCCGACAGCAAACACACAGAAAGACTAACATACACACAAATGGTCATAGTGTCTATTTTTGAGTGGTTTCTTTGCCTTTCTTCTCTGCATTTTAATGTTTGTTGGGAAGAAGAAAATTGATTTTGAAATAGATGCTTTATTTAAAAGAATTCACCAGTAATGAAATATACCCTGAGTATAAAGCACACTCTAAAGAGTGTTCATTAAGGTTGCTTAATTTTTGTTATATTTCCCCCATGCTTAGAATTCAGACCGTTAAAATGTGTTTTTTTTAAAAACATTTTATTAGGGGCTCATACATCTGTTATCGCAATCCATAAACACATCAATTGTGTAAAGCGCATTTGTACATCATTCTCAAAATAATTTCTCTCCACTTAAACCCCCGACATTAGGTCCTCATTTTTCCCCTCCCTCCCCGTTCTCCCCTCCCTCATGAGCCCTTGATAGTTTTTGGGTTTTTTTCCGCCCCCTGCGCCGCCCGCACGCCCGGGCCCTGCCCTTGATAGTTTATAAATTGGTATTTTGTCATATCTTGCCCTGTC